CACACATTGCTTTCTGGACCCACAGGGGACACCTTGCAGACCTGGAGACCTAGGGCCATAGGTTGCTCAGGTGATCGGCCCGGCCTCCAGCATCACCTCTCACCTGCTCGGGTGCCACCCGCCTGGAAGCAGCACACAGCTGCCTGGACTCTGGTCCCTGCGGCTAGGATTACTTTGAAAGTCCTATTATCTTGAAAATACTTTCTACAAGTTCAGAGTCAGTTGTTCTAAGCTGCATTTTAGAATCCCCGGGGGAGACTTTACAAAGCTCAGTGCCTGGCAGCTCCCAAACAGATCACATCAAACTCTCTTGGGTAGGACTCAGGCCCAGGATTTTTCTAACGTGCCTCCGCGTCCCCCCCACCCCACCCAGGTGATTGCAATGATCAGCCAAGGCTGAGAACAGCTGCTGAGATGGTGTGAAGGCACCAATCACCAATAACTCTGGGCGGGGCCACAGGTAGTTCCCCCCACCCCTGAAGGTTTAAGAAGACTTCGCCGTTGCCCTAGGAAGTCACGCTCCAGCTAAGAAGAGGTTGGTCCGTGTTAGCATCTGGCTGAGTCCTGAGGAAAGAGGATGGCGCCGGGCCGGATGGTCTGAGCAAAGTAAGTTCCTGGAACGTTACCGGTGGAGGTCATTCTGCGTAGAGAGGTCAGCAGGGCCCTTGAACTCAGGCACCTCTCGCCAGCCTGACTCTTGGCTGGGCTTCTCACAGATCTTTTGCTTTGGCCAAGAGCGGGGCTGCAGGCATACAGAGCCTGCCAGGCCCAAAGGGAGGGGTTTGTCTTCCGGTTTCAAGGCCGCAGGGACCGGGTGGGCTTGTGGGCGCCAGTGTCAGAGACCCAGACGCTGGCCCGGCTTGCCAACCGTCTCCCCAGAGAAGGGGCGACTCTGGATGGCAGGAAGAGCCCGGGGGGGGGGGCGGGGGGGGGGGAGCCGAACACAAGGAGGAGGAGCCAGAGGAAGGGGAGGCCCTGGGGGGTGGACGCGCGGAGGATGTCTCTCAGCAGGAGCTTCGCGTTGCCTTGTTGACAGCACCCTTAGCTCTTTCAGAACCCAGAAAAGTGTGTCACCCTTTGGAAGAGAGATGGGGGCTCAGAGAGGCCCATCCATCAGGGGAGGGAGGTGGCATTGTGGCTGCTTTGGGTCGGAGTGTGGCTTAGTCCCTGAGAAGTGTAGGCAGGAAGGGAGCTCAGGCCCAGTGACACTGCATCTCTGGTCACCAGAGTGGGCTCCGGGGGAGGCGGGGGGAGCCAGGGAACTGAGCGACCTGGGAGGTGGCAGGGTTGGTTGGCAAAGCAGTGCACTGGAGCTGTGCAGGTCACAAACAGAGCTCTGGGCTTGATGAGGGCTGGCCTTTGTACCCTCACCCCCTTTCTGAGGTCCCAGAGCTCCGAGGACCTGCATGGTAACTGAGGGCCATCACAGAGAAAGGAAGTTGCTGGAGCTTCTCTTATTCATCAGGACCAGAGGGGATGCTTGGAAACACGCCAGGCAGGGTCACAGCTGTTGAGGCTTCTAATCCCCAACCCGTCCTGGGCTGGGCATGGGAGCGGGACT